TGGGTGATTATGTGTCAATGGGAACAGCTTTTGAGGTTTTGTGAAGATTTGTAACGGCAGCTGCTTTTGTCCTCCGGTTTCCTCCAGGTGCGGTGCGAGCCTCTAGCATCTTCCCCATCCTCAGCGTTATCCTACTGTTCATGGGAGGCCTGTGTATAGCTGCCAGTGAGTTCTACAAGTCACGCCACAACATCATCCTCAGTGCAGGGATCTTCTTTGTGTCTGCAGGTGAGTCAAGCAGCAGCAAAGTGAGGCAGGGTGGACGAGAGACGAGATTTTTGGTTGTCTGTTGTACTGACGCTTTGCACCATTTCATCTTTTGTATTCTGTTTCTTTTATCTTGTTGCTAGGCTAAACGTCACCCTTTGGGAGTCATCTCTAAAAATATGGTGTCCCTGACACACTTTCCTTTTTATCCATCAACATTTACCATGTCAAAATATTCTCTATGATTGAACCTAACAAACTGAAGAATACATTCTGCTCTTGGCATGACATTGAACATTTGATTAGAAAATAACTCTGTAAAAACACATCTTACCAAGTACAAAGATGTTAGTACATTTGAAATAAGACAAAACAAACTTAAAGTAACTATTCAGAAAAATATGTAATTTATATTAGGGTTATAATAAACTGTTAGTTCCACTGGTAGATTAATTCACTTATGCCACAAGACATTTTCACATGTTTTAAGTGTCAGTGGATATAGTATTTTTCGTCAACATTAAGGAATTATTGACTTAAAACAAGCTAATATATCTTGCTGAAATGGTTGGTTGGTTGGTTGGTAAGTTGGTTGATAGGTAGGTACTCTATTGCTGTTCGGTAACACTTTATTTGAAGGGGGTTGAATAAGACTGACATAACACTTGTCATGAACATGAATAATCCTTCATGAATATTTATGACTGTGGTCATAAAGCGTCATTTGGTAAATTATGACACTTTTAATACAAAGTTGACATTATTCAAAATGTCTTTGTTATGACAACTTGACATTAACCAGGAAATCATTACTGATATAAATTTGTTATAAAAGTATTACTGATTGCACTTTAAAAATTAGGTAACTTTATGTTATTAAAGGTAAAGTTTAAACAGTAATGATTTATTGGTTAATGTCATAACAAAGACATTTTGAATAATGTCAACTTTGTATTAAAAAGTGTCATAATTTACCAAATGACGCTTTATGACAACAGTCATAAATATTCATGAAGGCTTATTCATGTTCATGACAGGTGTTATGTCATGTTTATGACAGTGTCATGTCAGTCTTATTCACCCCCCTTCAAATAAAGTGTTACCTGCTGTTCTTTTAAGTGTGCTAAGATATTTGCACTAGAAACTTGATCAAAACATTTGGTAACATTTGTATATTTTTCTAGTATATAAGCATAAAAAGTCTTAAATCTAATCAATTACCACTTGTTTTCAGCTGACACTTTCTCCTTCTTTCCTTTTTTTTCTAATCTGCTCATGATTGACGATGGTCCCTCAACGTCCTGCCAGGTCTGAGCAACATTATCGGGATCATCGTGTACATATCAGCCAATGCGGGGGATCCTTCAAAAAGCGACTCAAAGAAGAACAGCTATTCATACGGCTGGTCCTTCTACTTTAGTGCCCTTTCCTTTATAATAGCCGAGATGGTTGGCGTCTTGGCCGTGCACATGTTCATCGACCGCCATCGACAGCTGCGAATAGGGGCGCGCGCCGCCGACTACCTCCAAGGCTCGGCCATAACACGGATCCCCAGCTACCGCTACCGCTACCGGCGCCGCTCGCGCTCCTCTTCCCGCTCCACAGATCCGTCGCATTCCCGCGACGCCTCGCCCGTGGGCCTCAAGGGCTTCAGCGCGTTGCCATCCACGGAGATCTCCATGTACACGCTCCCCCGGGACACCCTCAAGTCGTCTGGCACGCCCACGGCCACCTACAACTCCGAGAGGGACCACAACTTCCTCCAGGTCCACAACTGCATCCAGAAGGACCTGAAAGACTCGAGCCACACCAACACAGCGAACCGCCGCACCACGCCGGTATGAGAGTCCGAACAGGCCCGGCGACCCTGGAGACACGGGAAAGCCCTGTGGGCGCGGTACGCCCCCCCGGAGAAGTTGGATTTCCATGTTTATAGACATTTTGTTTTGGTTTTTGTTTATTTTTGTTGAGATGCATGACTTCCATAGCCATTGTTGAGAGAGTTTCAACTGGATTGGTTCCGAGTAAGTGAAGATCTGTCATACTTTTGGACAGGTTTGTTTTATTTTTTTTTTTTTTGACGATTCGGGGAACCAAAAATCGGGTGGGAAGGGCGGGGCATTTACCAGATAATCAGTTCCATGATTTCATTGCCCTTGAGTTCGTTTGGAGTAAAAGGTCGAGCTCCCCTCAGCCAGCGTACCGCTAAGCTACATGCGCCCTTTTTTATTATTTACTGACTCATCTGTTAATTTTTTTGCATTAAAACTGTGAATTGTTACAGCTTGGGATTCAGTAAGAAGTACCCCAATCTGTAATCTCTAACAAAGGTACTACATATATATATATATATATATATATATATATATATATATATATATATATATATATATATATATATAAAAAAATATTTTTTTTATATATATATATTT